TGTTGCTATACCTCCTCACTTTAGGTGATGTCTCCTGTTCGTAAATACTGCTTTACAGGGCTGTGGTCCGGCGCACAGCACACCTGGCACATCAACAACCTCAATTTGGAAGTGCTCGTGTTGTCGATATCACACTGGCAGGAGCTCCTCCGGTACATTCAACTAGCTTTTTCGACCAACAACATTATTTCAGTGGTTTGATGTATACGCTAACAGGGGACGTCACACTCTCACTCACTCCTTCGACTGAAGATCTGGTCATTCCATCTGGTAGATTTGCTGGGTCTACGCTTATTGGTCAAGCACATTCCAGGATGTAAGAATGTTCTGCAGACGCGCTATCTAGGTCAGGAAGGGCAGCTTATTCCCAAGGTGTTTCTACTCCTATGTTAGCACCTAGGTTATCCCAACATTGACCTCTTCGCATCTTGCCAGAAGTACCAGATCTCAACTTATGTCTCCCCTTGGAGGTGGAGGTATTTAGCATCACTTTAGGAGGACTAAGAGTGTATGCTTTTTGGCCCCCAGTGCTTCTTCTTAAGGTGGTGCAGAAGATCTGGGCACCCAAGAGGCTCACTCTGACTGTGATCGCGCCTGCTATATCTGCAAAGGGCCTCACCAAGAAGTTAGTCTCCCTCTTGGCTCTGGCTACTGGGTGAACGAACTACACGCATTTGACCACATTCTTTTTATCCCCCGCCGCGCGAAAGCGCGAAGCGGGGGATATAGTATTCACGACCGTCCGTACGTCCGTCCGTACGTCCGTACGTCCGTCTGTCCGTACGTCCGTACGTACGTCCGTACGTCCCACCTGTTTGTTGCCACGATATCTCAAGAACTAAACACTGGATTGTCTTCATATTTGGATCTATGGTGTATATACAGACTCCGCAGACACCAGTCGGTTTTGGTGACCTTGATCCCATTTTCAAGGTCACAGCAGACAAATCTGCTTTTAGAGTTGGAAAACGGTGTTGCCGCGATATCTCAAGAACTAAACTCTGGATTGTCTTCATATTTGGAACTATGGTGTATATACAGACTCCGCAGACACCAGTCGGTTTTGGTGACCTTGATCCCATTTTCAAGGTCACAGCAGACAAATCTGCTTTTAGAGTTGGAAAACGGTGTTGCCGCGATATCTCAAGAACTAAACACTGGATTGTCTTCATATTTGGAACTATGGTGTATATACAGACACCGCAGACACCAGTCGGTTTTGGTGACCTTGACCCCATTTTCAAGGTCACAGCAGGCAAATCTGCTTTTGGAGTTGGAAAACGGTGTTGCCGCGATATCTCAAGAACTAAACACTGGATTGTCTTCATATTTGGAACTATAGTGTATATACAGACTCCGCAGACACCAGTCGGTTTTGGTGACCTTGATCCCATTTTCAAGGTCACAGCAGGCAAATCTGCTTTTAGAGTTGGAAAACGGTGTTGCCACAATATCTCAAGAACTAAACCTCTCGATTGTCTTCATATTTGGAACTATGGTGTATATACAGACACCGCAGACACCAGTCGGTTTTGGTGACCTTGACCCCATTTTCAAGGTCACAGCAGGCAAATCTGCTTTTGGAGTTAGAAAACGGTGTTGCCGCGATATCTCAAGAACTAATCGCTGGATTGTCTTCATATTTGGAACTATAGTGTATATACAGACACCGCATACACCTGTCAGATTTGGTGACCTTGACCCCATTTTCAAGGTCACAGCAGGCAAATCTGTTTTTGGAGTTGGAAAACGGTGTTGCCACAATATCTCAAGAACTAATTGCTGGATTGTCTTCATATTTGGTACTATGGTGTATATGGCGGGGGATATTTCGTCACTCTGTGACAAATACTTGTCTAATATGAGAGCAGGGCGCAGAGTGGCGTTCATCTTGGGCTGTGATGCAATTTCATTGCCAAGAATCAACTCCCGGGGAAGCCAGACCGATCTTAAATCATTCTGCAGGCTTTCGAGACTGCTGGCTTGGATGCCCCAGGGCCAAAATCCCTCACGAGATCAGAGGCATTGCCTCGACCATGGCCCTCCACAGCACAGCCACTACCGGAGAGACGTAGCCTTAGAGGACGTGGAGGTCGTCCACAGATTTGAACTCTTGGTTGTTGCCCAGTACATCTGAAGGTATGCCCACCTGCCTGTCTGATAAAGATGCATTAAGGAGTAATGAAGGACAAGTTAAATCAAATAGTGAAATTTAAATATTGTTTACATTTGTATACCTATTCCTGTATTATTTGGTCAAAATGCCCTTCCGTTACAGTACTAGCTCCCCACACAATTTTCAGATGTAACGTTCTAAGCAGTAATGTGCTCTTATGTGAGGTCACCATTTCCAGGTCACGAGCCAGCTGTGTAAAGGTATTGCTACACCACTGATTGGAACAACTTCTTCTGCAGCTGGAGCTCTCACAGCTCAGTCTTTCTGTTTAAAAAGCAGCTGCAAATGTGTGTAGGGTGTGGTTATGCAGGATAAGTTTACAAATGTGGATAAATGTTACATTTTACTGAAATGGTTAATGGACGTCAGAATGGCACGAGGCTGGTTACACAACGGACTTCACATTTTTCGAATTCTTTCCAGTCATGGTGTCAGTTTTTTATATGCTGTAAATTTCTGAAGAACAAGAAAATTATATTTAAATCCGATAACCAGGCAATGGTCACTGTGCTCAACAGGCTTACTTTCAAGTGTGTTGGTAAGATTATTCATCATGCAGTGCCTAAAAATAAACCTGCTTAGTTAGGGCTCGCATAGTCCAGGGTATATGAATGCAGACAGCTAATCCACATCATAATTTCAGATGTTCCAGGAATTGACACCAGACGCCGAAAACGTCCCGTCTCTGATTCCACACCACTCGAGGATATGGAAGATGAAGCTCATAGGTTACTAGATTCTTTGTCTTTCAACACCAGGAAAGCTTACCCCAAGGAATTAAAAGCACTTGGGGCATTTCAAGAGGAATTTCAGCTGAATCCCTACTGGCCAGTCAATAGCAATTGTTTCAGCACATAGGGTGTATGGCTGTAAAGGGAAGAGCTCTTCATCGGTCGCCCAGCATCTTATGTCTGTCAGCAACGCTACAGATAACTTCATCTCGGAGAATGTTATGGCTGGCATGATAAATAGTTATCAAAATACAGACACCAGAGCCCCTATTACACTAGCTATTCTCAGCAAGCAAGTGTCGGTACTACCATTAATTTTCACTTCAACCTACTTTGTTTAAAAGCATATTTACGTTGGCATATTTTTGCATTTATGGATTAGTGAACAGGTTGGTGGGCATAACCAGGGCATGGGACTTCTGGCGCAGGACATAATGCTGCATGGGAAGCAGCTTACAGTAAGTGTCAGGCATTCCAAAATGGATCAGAACGGTCTATCCTGTACGTTGATCATCAACTCGCAACAGGACGGGTGGGTGGGTCCCATCAAGGCCATGTTGGAGTATTTAACCGACAGAAGCAAAGTAACCAACATATCTAAATCATTCTTTCATGCAGATGGTTCATGTGTCAACAGATAGCCAGTTTACAGTACTCCTGAAGAAGCTTCATTGATCTAAGCTCTGATGCGTACACGTCACATGCCTAACTAAATCTTTGGCAGCAGATGAAAGTCCTAGAACCGCCAACAATGTTGTTAATACATTAAGGCTCAAATGACTTGGTTATGTTGTCAAGAACAAGTCAGACATCTTCGTCACAGACCTAAAGTAACTGAATAAGCTATTGCCTCATACTATCATCGTGCGGCCTGAGATTTTACCAAGGTGGGCACGGAAAGGGGCTGATTCTGGGGAAGCGATGGACAGGAAGCGGAAAGGAATTAATCAGTGTGTATCTGTTGAAGTGTATCTTCTTTGGGGTAATGTTGTGAAACATGAAATTGTGGCACGTGACTGTGCTTTATCGTGAAGATGAGATACATTTTTCTGAGGTGGACATAACCATTTGCATGATACATTTGTTAAAGGGAAGGTCCCTCGTTTTTAAACCATTAATTAAAATGCTTTGTCAGCATATTTGGGGTTTGTTTGTTTTTTTGTCACTCCAGCATACTTCTGTGGTTTGTGTTTTTTTCTTCTTTCAGGGCTGCCGGGATCAGCATCACTATGTCACACTTAGTCTATGACTAATAACTGAAACAAGACAAAGAGTGCATAGAAATCCTAATGTTTCATCATGAGTAAGATGACGAAAGTCTTATCGTGTCTACTCGTGTTTGGCCGAGTGGTCGATGATGGTGCCTCTCTCTGTTATTCCTCTCATGTGTTACCGGTACTGCTAACCACCCACATGGTGGAATGTGGGCTTTATTTACTTTAGGGAGTTGACCATTAGGTGCATTTCATTTGGGTACTTTCATTTGCCTTATATTGTATTTATAACCAGCAATAAAGTGTGCCCAGATGTCTTCCAACAATTCAATAGTTTGTATTTATTTCATTAAAGTATGCTTTCTAAGGTCGGTTAAACTTTCATATGTTGGTAAATGAATGGAAATCTGTATATTGTATTCACAATAAGCATTAAAGTGTGCTCAGATATCTTCAGACAATTCAATAGTTTGTAATGATTTTATTAAAGTATGCTTTCTTGGGTCGGTTAAACTTTCATATGTTGGTAAACGAATGGAAATCTGTGATGCAATCTGATTTGTTGAAAACGTTAAATGGATTATTTTTTTTCCAAATTCCAAATTATGTTTGATCCAAATTAGTCAGAACAACTTCTCTATTTTTCACATTCTACGAATGATGTAGAGTTAGTTACCACACCTCCTCCGTGGTCTAGTGAATAGAGCGTTTTCCCCCGAGAGTTGAAAGTCGGTTGCTCGATCCATGGCAAGGTCATACCAAAAGATGGTACTTGTTGTTTCTCTGCGCTTCTGCATTAAGTGATAAAAACAAGGACTCGTCAGATGGAGTCTTTATAAAGGAGGCGTTAAATGCATTATAACATGAATATTCCCTCAGTTTCAGACAATTCTTCAAGGATTTTTTGTGCAAAGAGTGAGTATACGTTTTTAGAAAGTCTGATAGTTTTTATACGAAACATGATTTCAGATGTTATATCAGGTGGTACATGTATATGTATAACTGGGTGCAGTTGGGTAGCTTACTTGTTTGAACACCAGCTCGTCATGCACTCGAAACAAGATATGGTGCAAATTCCTCCCATTTATATAGCTACAATATTGCCTGAAGGTGGCGTTAAACCACACTTGCTTTCTTATATACATTATAACATTATATTTTTTTTAATTTGAAGTTTACACAATATACGGCTTTTCCATTGGACGAGAGTTCGGTCACATGACCCCGAAATTGACGTTCATAAGCGTATGAACGACACAATTTGACGTTCATACGTTTTTCACGAGACCGTGTTCTTGAAATGACGGAAACACTGACAGACTACTTCCACATTCCCAGGAAATCCCTGGGAATTCCCTAGCACGAAACATGCATAAGCGTTCTTTCTGATCATTTAGAACCTTTATTCTTGGTCTCAGCGTTTCAGTATACATTTAGAAATGTCAGAGCGCGTGACTGCATGATTGTTCACGAACATCCTCGCTACGGCCCCTCCTAATGAACAAACGAAGAAATGCACATCTAAACTGTCGTAGTATCGACTCGAGACGTCCCTAGGCTGACATTGACCGTCTCCAGCAATCTATGAATTTATTTTTGTGTCTGTTTGACGCATCTTTATTCACCTTTCAATGATCGGCCAGTTGATCAATGATGACTAACACATATAACCGCCACAGGTTTAATAACAACTTTGGAAATCTCTCCCGTCACGTTTATCGTGTCGGCCATTTTGACGTCTTGTACTTGATGTAAATGTATTACTGACTTACTGAGGTAGTTCTTTACAGACCTTTCTCATCTAATGAGGATATGATTCGAACACATGTGCTGCCGAAGATGTTTCTGAAGAGCAAGTTGTGCATCCATACGCCCATGTCACCTTTCGTTTTGAGGAACTATTTTACTCCGCGATATAGCTGGTTGTTGTATGGCTGTCAGTGTAAACATGACGTCACACGTACTAAATAAAATTGTGTTTAGATCATGGCCTACATCCTTTGAGGTAAGAAATTGAAATAAAAAAATTATAAGAATTGACTTTGACTTTGTGTGAGTTCATTGGAGTATGAACCTTCATAGAGTGAGGGGCCGACGTTCATACAGTTTGGCCCTCACGAATAACAAATCGAGAACATGCAGTGCCAAGCGTGAGTTTACTTAAAGGCAAATAAGGCATAAATGGAATTGCGCCATACGCACCTTGTTATATTTATGTGTTGAGAATTTTTACGGAATTAAAATAAACATGTATGCATGGAGTATCCTTCCCTTGGTTTTATAAGTACCGCTAGTTTTGTCTTCGGATTTAGTATGATGAAATATGTATGTATCATTACAAGGCATGGTTGATGAGGGACCGACCATTTGATGGATGGGGGAGAGATAAAGGAGCTCGGGCTTATAGTTTTAAGATTTAACACGTATAGCAAACTAATTACTATATCCATACGGAAGATCAAAATAAAGTGCTGAGGGGAAAATGGCTAGACATCATCCTCCAGTAAATGAATAATGCAGACCGACCGTGGCTACGTATCAGTCTCGAAGAAGATATTGACAACATCTGACTGCGGGTCTGTGATATTTGCACTAATGCCGATGGGTGAGTAGCGCTATCTGATCTTTAGTCAAACAATTTTCGATTATTGTTCGCCTGAAGATAATATTTTATATATGCCATTAGAGACATATTCGTGTGTTGACTTGCTTTTCACTCGCTTCACCATGTTCACACGCTGGTCACCTCTATTCCACATTTTGAGAACAGGTCAGTTGATTGCTATATTAACACCCAATCCTGGCCATGGTAAAATTGTCTTATTCATAAAACCCATGATGGATGTAGCTTGTGGAAACGCTTCCCTATCAACTTTGTTTTGTTTTTTATTGTATGTTTTCATACAATCTGTTTTTCTCGCAAACATTAAAAAACATTCAATTTTGTAGGTTATGAACCAATGGTTGATGTAAATAACAACCTTGACAACAATATGAGCCTGTTGAGTTCGGAAAAAAATGAATATGGGTGACAGAATATTTTAAGCAAATTGCAAGGGCCTAGCAGATAAAAGAAAACGTAAAGAAGTAATGAACCTTTGCCGAAAGAAGACATTTTCGACAATGTGTCTTCAAGACATTTATTTTTCTAAAGAAATCAAAACATAATGAGAAATGATTGGAGACTTCAAAGTATAATAACGCCTTACAAGTCAAATGTAAGAGGAGTTCCTATTTTGTTCTGTAATAATTGAGAAATACAAATCCATAGATTTAAACAAGATATTATTGGAAACTGTATAAAAGCAGATATCACGAAAGAGGATATAAAGTTAACTCTGAATAATATTTATGGGTCAAATCCAGGCGAACCTGTTATTTTACAATATTTATTCAATAGTATTGACGAATTTGAAAAGGTTATATTGAAACTTGTTACTCAACCCAGCTGTCGATTTGGAAAAAATATAAGCACATCAACAATCCCAAAGCAAGTAAGTTAGTTCTTGAGTGAGTGAGTTATTATTTAACGTCACATGGTCGGTATTTCAGCCATATCGTGACGAGAAGTTGTACATTAATGATACATTTATGATACACATATTCAGACTAAATAAAAAGCTGTCAACGATGGACAGTAGAATAACTAGAATATCACAGACTTAATTTAAAACTAGTAGAGAATATTAAAAAACAGTAAGCATTAATGAACAACACAATATAAAAATGTGCAGGAAATCGTCAGCCACTGAAGGGAGATCACCATACTGGGGACCATGGGGACTTACAGTACCTTTGCTTCCTGCATGGACCTCGGCAGGATTTATATCATCCCTTCAGTCACTGGCGACAGTGTACCAGTTAAGCCTTAGATTAAAATAACGAATATACAACGTTTAAAAGCCTGGCATGCAGAAAATACTTCGAATGATATGGGACTTACATACCCTCTTAGGGGGACAACAATTTTACGCTACTTCAACCCCCCTCGAGGGTACAGCCACTAACAATCTAAGTTATTATTTAGCACTACAAATTTATAAAAGAATACATTCAGTACATCAACATTTATGGACAAGTTCGATTTCTTTTAAAAAGCTTGAATCATCATTTAATAGACATAAACTATTATCAGAAATAAAATCTTCAATAACTTTCCCCTTGTTATTTGTACTTGCACTTTCCCATAGAGGGTTATGCCCGTTTCAATCGCCCATGATGATGCAGGGCTTAGGGAGCTGATCATATAGATTCTGTAGATCAGACTGTCGGATGAAGGTGTGATATACAAAGAGCACAGAGTAAATCCAATGTGCAAAGTAATGCGGATAGCAACAGCTTGAAGATTACTATTTAAATGTACAGGACTGTGAATGACGTTCTTTCTGACTAAAATAGTAGAGCCTCCAGTCGCTTTATCACCTGGAGGAGAAAATGAATGATGACAGTTGTACTGCCTTAGATCAAACGTATCAGTGTGCTTAAGATATGTCTCTTGGAGACATAATTCTGACGGGTTTTAATCTTGAACTAACAATTCTTTTTCTCATTAAAATTCTGTCTTAGTCCTCTGCAATTCCATTGAAGTATATTAGGCGAATGAATCATGGTGGTTCAATCGATGATCTCTCACGCGAACGTGAGGAAGAAGAACTCCTGTCAGAATTCTCAGACGATGGTGTTACTTCCATGTCCAAAACACCATAGGAGTTTTGAAGAGGTACCTCTGAAAGGGGAGGGATTCCTGGGTAATTGTTTTTTACCTAACTTTTTTCTTTCCCGTTTCGACAGATTGACACTTGCAGTTGTTGGTTCAGGTGGAGTCTGACTCGCTGCCTGAGAAGTTGAAGCTGGTGCTGTTGTTTGTGCATCAGATGTGTCATGCTCGATGGCAGGAGCAGTTGCCACGATTCGATCAGATCTGACCCATGTCAACTCTGTCTGACACGAGACAGATGAAGATAGAGTTGGCTTTGAGACAGCAGAGTAATTTAGTGTCGATTGAGGTTGTGATTGAGACTTAAACAGTTGTCTAGCTTCTCCAAACGTAATTTTTTTTCACACTTTGTTTTTTGTATTTTTTATTCATTTTTCCAAATAGGACAGAATTTGGAGGAGGCCATTTGTTTGCAATCACAGTTCGCACATTTGAGGTCTTGTTGGCAATCAGTACACTCATGGTTGTCGCCACAGCGTTGACAAACCACAGAACGAGTACAGGACTTGGCCATGGCCAAAATGTTGACATCTAAAGTATCGGATCGGACACCTCCACTCTGAAAATACAGAAAGCTTTTATCTAATTGATGTTTGGAGAGAAAACAATTCAATATGTAATGAAATACACATTGCTGAAAAAAGGCCTACTAGACTTGACTTCTTGGTCTCACAAGACATAGCAAATATTGATTCTACAATTGTAAGGGGATACAGATCTGATCACTCTGCAATAACTTTGACTCTTTCAAATGCACTTAGCGAAGAAAGAGAGATGAAAAGAGAAAAATTGAAGACGTAAACTTAGAATTATACATTAATGACACTCTCTTTTAAGAATCATTTTTTATGAAACTGAGAGGCAAATCAATATCGATTTCCAAAAAAACATCAAAAACCAAAAATGAAGAAAGTAAAACCTTAGAGGAAAAAATAAAAGCAAATAGAGAAATTGGGACATATTTTCAGAATATAAGGGAATCAAATCAAAGCTGTCAGACTTATCTTCATATACTCACACACAAAAGAAACGCAAGTTGAGAATGCAGTATACATGCTATTTATTTTCAACAGTAAAGACAAGAAATACTAAAAGGGCAAGATTGACAAAATTTTGACTGAAGACAGTTTAATGGATTAAAAGGAGGAAGACATAATTGTTTTTTTCAAATGTTAAGGGCTTACACAGTTTCGGGTCA